GTATAGCAACGTGATGACGACTTGAACGAAGCATGCGACGAAAGCATGGGGACGAACCAGCAAGAAGGGCACAGCAAAGCTAAGGTCACTGCGTTCGCCAACTCTCCCTTGACTTGGAAAGCATTGCCAATCTGCTTGAATGTATCACCGTCCTGCAATTGCAACAGGGGGTGGGCGACAGCCAATGGCTGCGCCTTTCGATAAGCAAGTGCAAAAGAACAATGCGCATGACAAGCAATGCATTACGCAAGAATTTTGACCTTGGGATGTGAAAATGGCTGAGGGAAATTTCTTCATGAAGTTTCAGCTGAACAAACCACTTCTGTTCTTAACCTACCACTAGTCAAAGGCTTGAAAAGGAACAAAGGCATAAACTGCTGCATTGACTTTTGCAAATTACAAGCCTTTGATGCTTGAGTGGGAGAACTGACGGAGCACAACCCTACTTTTATTCACACGACCAATCAACACCGGTTTTCTCACAGGAACTTTGCAAAGGAAGAAACAAAACGAACATAGGGATGTAAAAACAAGGTTGCTTGTTCAACAGATGCAACTTTCAACTGTCAACGTCTGTTGAGGTGGTACTTTTTTTGGCTTTTCGTCAAAAAGTTCTTCCTACACCTGTCAAAAGGGCATAGCAAAGGAACAAGGGCATGGCAAAACATCATACAAAGTCTTAGACTAAATCCTCTCTATCAAATTGAGGAAAATGTTGAGAACATATCATTCAACAAATCCTGAGGAATAAATACGCTACTGCTAGTATTTTTTATGCGTAAAAAAAAACTTCCCTCAAAAGAACATGGCAAAGGAACTAGCAAAAGGCAAAGAAACCATATGGTTTCCTTTTCCTAAACTGTCACCAGCATGCAACACCCTTTTTGCGCGCGATGGCTCAAACTCAGGCGTCCTTACGCCGTTCCCTTTGCCCATCTTGGGCTGGGGGATGGGGGGGTGGGTACCCTAACAGCAAACCTTGAGCCGCTACAGGTGAAACAGTTTTGTTACAAGAAAACCCCGTGCACACTGCGTTGAACGCAACAAGTTTCCTTTTCCTAAACTGTCACCAGCACGCAACACCCTTTTTGCGCGCGATGGCTCAAACTCAGGCGTCCTTACGCCGTTCCCTTTGCCCATCTTGGGCTTCCTTCCCCCCTCAGGAATCCGGACGCGAAACGCATCACGGATCCTTATTGAGAGGGTCAGTTTGGAGTGAGGTCTGCCGTGATCATTTTCTGTGCTACGCCTTTCACATTCTCTCGCGCCTCCCATATGTAGGTTTGGAAGCTGTCTGAAGCCCATCGTCCCCAGCGCTTCACTAGGGAGGTGTCTTGGTACTGTGCCCACAGGGCACTTGCCCCACCGAACCTCAGCGAGTGAGCGGTGAGGTCCCCTTCCGGGAGTCCCAGACCTTTGGCTGCCCTGACGGATTTCACAACACACACCTTTTCCGCAGTGCGAAAGTGGTTTCTGACCTGTCCCCGATTGTAGATGTCTGTCTTGGATCCTTGCACCAGAAGGGTGACTTCGTCAACTTCGCTGATCCGGTTCAGCGCCACGGCATTGCCATTGAGCTTCAAGGCGACGTCGGACCCACGCAGGCCTCTTCTGGGATCTTGGTACCCGACATCAAGGTATTCCGAAGCCCGAAGTAGGAAGAAAAATCCCAAGGTGAGGGCGCCCCAAAGGAGGCTAGCTTCCTCGGCCCTTCCATACTGCAGATGTTCCCCAAGCCATTTCAACATGTCTGGAGTCACGGGGTCGCAACCCGGCCAGGGCAAGCGGGATCCTTGGCGTGTGCATCAAGAGATCTGGGTATCCCAACGTCAAGTGCATGCTGCGTATGGCGGAAAGTCGCAGTTTGATGGTGCCCGGTGCTTTGGCTTCATTGGAGGCACAGTGGACCAGGAAGTCGATGACCAGTTGTTCCTCTTGACGGCTATAGGCCGGAACATATCTGACTGGGTCTTCACCCCTTCGTTTGCAGAAGAGTGACCACCAGCCCCATTGCGACTGGTAGCTGGCGGCTGTGCTCTGCGAGTACCTCGAAAGTAACAGTGAGAATCCTTCTTGGTCGAATTCGTGCCGTCCTTGAACTTGAGCAAACCTAAAGCTCTTTCCCGCGGGGTGCCTTCTGGCAGCAGCCCTTGGTCCACCCAGGAAACGCACGTTGGGTTCTTGCACGACTCTTCTACCTTTCTTGGGGGGGGCTGAATCTCACTTTCTTTCTGGTTCCGCCGACTTTGGTGGCCTCCAAATAGACCTTTGCCGATCCTCCTGGGTGGTTTGACCCCCATTTGGAAAGGAGTCTTCTGATGGCCAAAGCCATGGCTAGTATAAATGCCAGCAGTAGGCTGTCAAAAATCATTCCTGAAGCCTGATCGAGATCCCACTCAGCTTCAAGGGCGCAAAAATCATTCCTGAAGCCTGATCGAGATCCCACTCGGCTTCAAGGGCGTCTCCAGGACTCCTCTTCAGTCCTTGGTCAAAATTGCTGAGGTTCGGGGCGGAAAGACCTCCGGCCAAGGAGCTCCCCTCGGCAGTCTGGTGCGCGATGGCGTGATTGCGGTCACGCTCAGCGTCGTCTTTGGTATGCCCTTGTCCCTCGCGCTTCCGCTGCTTCTTGATCTTCTTACGGCTGGCGGTGTCTGGCGCCCGCTTGTTCCAATTGCCCTCTCGTCGAGCCTCATTCTGGAGGTCCGCTCTGAAGGTTCGAAGGTCTTTTTGGGCTGCATCATGAAGCGCTTTGTCCAACACCTTACCGGCTTCTGCAAGATCAACATCCAACAAGGGTCCTGTTCCTGGTCCCTTCTCTGCTCGACTCCAGGTGTCGACCCTTTCACCTCTGACGGATCTCCCCGCCTCAATCTCTTGCTTCAGTCGGTGATCAGAAACAAGCGGAACCCCAGTCCTTGGACCGACGGGGTTCGCGAGCTCAAGTCGTAACATCTGATCGTTGAGGCCTGCCCGGTAGTCGGTTTCTGCCTCAGTGTAGTGCTTGACCCTTTGGGCTCGCTCTTCGGCTTTGGCTTCAGCCTCCGTCTTACTCTTGAGTCTTGCCTCGGGCGAACTGGTTGAGACGCTCCACGAACTCCGACTTACTGAGAGGCTGCTGGGGCTTGCTGGACAGCTTCTTGGAGACATGCCCAGTTGGCGGCGTCGGCGTCGGCCACAGCTTTGAGAAGATGCAGGTGCACATCCCCGAACTTGACCTTTCGCCTTCGAGGCCTGGGTAAGTCCCTTCGGTGATCATTTCTAGATCCTTAGGTGGAAGGTATTCGATTCCCTTGGCATCTCCAGGGGGCGGTGGCGCATTGGGCACACCCTCTGCTGCTGGTGCTCCTCCTGGGGTCTCTGTTGCACTGGGGACGTCGACACTCTCTTCAACCTTCGTGGGTATCACTTCTTCGCTCTTTGGAAGAGCTGCGGTCGTTTCGGCTTTGGGCTGACACCTCAGAGTCAGTGCCCCCCCAATCAACTTCCATTTCTCCCTCTGCTTCCCCGGCGAGACGCGCCTCGGGTCGCGAGGTCCACAGCAAGGCCATCTTCGAAGTTCTCGGGTAAGTTGCTCGCGAGGCCTTTGGCGACGTCTAGGATCTCTTCGGTAATGGGTTTCTTCTCTTCTTCTGGCATGGGACCCCATCTGCCTGTCACTTTGGGCCTGATGGGCAGCGCAGCGCTTGACATCGGTGCTTTGGCAGAGCTCGCTGCCGAGCCATGCTCATCTTCTCGGTCCTCGAGGCTTCTGCCTTCAGGTAAGCCGTCCCACGGGGTGATCCTAATGATTGCGGCTGGCGTACTGTCGAATCACAGAGCCACACCTTGTTGCCGGTCTTCCGGAACTTGCATCCAAGGTCAACGGCTTTCTTGACATCGATATCTATCCGTGTTTCGAGGTCGACCCGCCACCGCTCTGCGTGTTCCTTGGGGTCTTCGAAGTGGACATCTCGGTCGCCTCTCACCAACCCCTTCTTCTGAATGG